ACTACTAGTAAGGCCCTTGCTCCTAGTAGCGATGCACTCGTTACTAGGAGCAAGGGCCTTACTAGTAGTAACAAGAAGCAATTAGAAACAATAAGCTAGTAGTAACGAGTGCATCGCTACTAGGAGCAAGGGCCTTACTAGTAGTAACAAGAAGCAATTAGAAACAATAAGCTAGTAGTAACGAGTGCATCGCTACTAGGAGCAAGGGCCTTACTAGTAGTAACAATGTTTGCTAGTAGAAACACAAAACACCTGTTCCTTCAAACATTTTTTTGTTCCTAATTGCTTTTTGTTACTACTAGTAAGGCACCTGTTACTACTAGCGTGGCACTTGTTCCTACTAGTAAACATCTTCTACCACTTTTCAGTTCTTTCTAGTTCCTTCTAATTACCGCTCGCTGACAAGCTTTCGGTTCGCTTGAGCACCGACTGGGTGCCCCGGCGAGGAACTCCTTCCGCGATAGCAGCAGGGCTGTTCTGGTCGATGCCATATTCATACCCAGCAGGAACCTAAAGCTCTATTAGCAAGCACTGTTAGGAACTCAACACTTCTTGATCGCTCTTAGGTTGGAGGCCGTTGGAGGCCATCGGTATTAGGGTGGAGGGCATCGCTTCTCTTTTCACTTCGTGTTGGCCGCCTCGTCTTTCCTCTCAGTCTGGCACAGGAGACGGGTCATCGCACTGAAACACCGAGCAGTTCCTCAAACAAAGAAACACGTTTTCTTCGCAAAAAGGGACATGCGGGTTCCAGAAGCTTTCGAACGTTCTATTTCAATTTCTCTGAGGAAAGCAGTTGAGAACACACATGTATCCGTGTGTACAGCACTCTGTGTCGAACTTCGTGTTATCTTCGCGTCGATGACGTCAGGTGCCGGGCGGAGCTTGCCACTCCAGTGTTGTGTCCTCAGTCATCTTTTGTATGGTCAAGCGGGTACTTGGGGCCGGCCGCGGCTTGTGTTTGGACTGTGACGAACTGTTATCGAAGTGCCATCCGCAATCAGGGTGCAAAAAAGAACCTGTGAGAGCGATTCTACACTTCGCAATAGACACTTTGTTTTGGTCCCCTTCCTCACGGTGTCTAGGTGCATCGTCATACTTTCGGCTCTCGGTTGCCAGCAAATCTTTCAGAAAAACACAAAGAGAGACGGACTAGAGCATCAACTTACTAGGTCGGCGAATGGTTCAATCACGCCATGTCCTCTCTTCGAAACGAATCTGTTTAACAATTCATTTGGTACAGGGCTGTAACCCCCCCTCCGACAAAAACGGGAAAAATGTTATTGAACATCTTCAAAAACGAACAAGGCACCAAAAAACGCAACCTCATTGGCAATCTAATCCGAAGAACACAGCTTTGGACACCAAAATACGTGAAACGACGGACCAACACACTATCCAAAAGACCTTCCACAAGTGGGCCGAGAGTGGATGGCCCAGCTTGATGCGTTTTGCTGCCGCAGTTTCTGCCTGTCTCATTTTTTGTTCAGGCTAAGCGCCCCCCAAGAACACTTCTCGTCTCCCACCGTTGAGCTCCTGCCTCTCTTAGCCTAAAACGTACAATTTTTCCGGTCTCTCTCTCTCTCTCTCTGACGGACCCGGCGGCATCTAAGTTGTTCTCGGGGCAACTAGCCAAAGCTGCGCCGTACAATTCAAACGGCCTCAGAAAGACAAAAAACAACGAAAACGTAAAGCAACTTCATGAAACAGGGGCTATTTTGCTTGTTGCGAACCAGGTGCTCAACATCTCAAAGCAAATTGTTTGGATTTCGAAGTGACAGATCGCGACCACTCGTTTGCCTCCTTCACCGTGTTTTGGACACTGTGACACCGTCACACCGAACCGTTCGATTTTTGCAGATTCTCTTGCCGGTTAGCGCGAATGGCGTCTGGGTAGAGTTGGCGAAGGCACTTACAACCCACATGGAGCTGCCCTTTTGTTGGCGCCTCCTAGGCAGTGAGGGCGCGATGCTCTCACTGCAGCTTGATAGAGCCCACTGAACTCCAACTCTCGGGAGTGCGTATTGCACAATGCGCTCTGTACTCTGTGCATCGGCCCTCAATGGGTCGATTAGTGCCGACCAAGTCACAGATGTGTCCATTCTCATCCTACAAACTGCATCGCATAGCCGCATCGCTTAGCCGCATCTTGGAGACGGGCAAATCATTGCGTGTTAAGCAGAGCGAAGCCCAATTGTCGAACTCACAATGGGACTCGATCATGCCATTGGCCCAGATGTTTCCACGCATTGTGGCCCTACACAACTGGGCGCAATTCAGCCTACGCAGGCTTAGACATAGCGTTCTCTCTTGGGCTCCATTGATGTCCCAAGATGAGCCATTGACAGAAACAGATCGGGATCAAACACCATAAGACTTGATATTGAAAGGGCAATACAAGTCTTTTTCTCAACTGCGTGCACAAACAACGACTTCCAGACTTCCAACCGCAGGGCTTCATCGCAAATGCTGAGTGGCAACGGACACTGGACGGCCCAGCGTTGAAGCGGCTCTGGATGACGTCATAAAATCTTGCCAACGCGAGATGGCAAAAAGGCACTCAAAAGGCGCTCATAGGGTCTCACATTGGCAGTTTGAAGGGGCTTTGTTCGTCTTGCATGATCAATGCCAGCTTGAAATCGAATTGCCTGGCATGTATTTGGACAGGGCAGCTATATGGCTCATGTTTCTGCACGGTCTGAAATAGCTGTTGACAGTCACTCCAAGATTTCTGTTGCTTTGCTCGACCTTGTTGCTTTGTAAAATTCTACGAGTTTTCTCACAAAGATTGCACCAGGGTTAGCCAAGCTGCGGGATGCACTTTGGCCTGCAGGATTCTCCAGGCATGATGCCCCTGCCAGCTTGAACAGCAGAACAAGAAACATGTGAAAGGTCTTCCTTTGTGCAACCTTGTGAAACAAGCTTTTTCCTGGCAAAAGAGTAAAGGATAAGGAGCAAGGCTCACCTGCATGTGGTCATATTGATTTGGCATTGCTCCACCGGGGACATCACTGGCAATTGGCCTCGTTTCGATTGGCGTGGACGTGACGGCATGACGACCTTTTTCTGGGGCGTCGACAGGGCATGAGCTTGCGGCAACCGGAGAGGACCGTGGTGACCTCGTCGTGTCGACATGTGACGTGAACAAGAAGCTACTAGTAGCTTTCGGACGCTACTAGGTGGAGGCCATCGCTACTAGTAGCAAATAACTACTAGTTACTGTTTTTGTATTCAGAAATTCTTCCACACTAAAAACGGTGTTGAGCAGGTCAAGAACGGTCTCCTTTTCGGTTGGAGCGCTGCCTGGCAAGTCTCATTGTTGACGGTGCACAGTGTGGAAGCTGGACCGAGGTAGCCTCGACAAGATTCACCAGTCGACTTTCCTCCTTAATTAAGGCACTCTTGTTACTACTAGTAAGGCACTTGTTACTAGTAGCGATGCACTTGTTCCAAGTAGCTTCCTAGTAGTTAAGTTATTTTTTCGCCCACTCCTTAATTAAGTAGGAGCAGCAAGGGAGTAAGCTACTAGATAGCTCACGCTTCTTCGAGGAAGCTTCCTTGAAGAAGCGCTCGCACTATTCATTTGGTTCCTAGATTTTTAGGGAAACTTAGTTAAACCGCACTTCTCAAACAAAGCTCTCCTCTTACACTCAGCCAAAGCAAAGCCTCTTCAAGAGATGTACCGGGGCATGTTGCGACTGCTGTTGCTGTACTGTTCTCTGCATCTGCACCTGGCTCACATCTGGCAGAGGAAGTGGCAGAGTCCCACCTGTGCAAGTTCTTCCACTTTTCAGTTTCTCAGCTCGTTCTACGAAAGTTGCAAAGACTTGCAGAAAGAGCTCTTCTCAGTGCGCTGAGTTTGTGTCTCGAAGCCCTCCGGCATTGGGTTTGGCATCGGGCATCGAAGTTCGCACCTCAAAAAGTCATGTCACTTCCCCGAACTTAACATGCACCTACGCCCGAAGCAACGTACTAATTTTCGCAGCCGAGTGCTGTTTCATGGAGTTGGAAAAATGTCGAACACTTCCAAGTCTTGATGCAACTCAAACGAAAAATGATACTCAATTCTTTCCGTCTCACTTTGGCTTCAGTTCCAACAAGTCCCTCTTCATGACCGAATAAACACACACTCGACAACGCTAAGGCAAAGAAAAAAGAAACACGTGTCACGTTTCCAACTTGTTTTCTGCTTGCCAGGAACAAGAAACTAGTAGGAACAAGTGCATCGCTACTAGGAACAAGGGCCTTACTAGTAGTAACAAGAAGCTATTAGAAACAATATTTTCTTCAATTTTTTCCCTTCGGTTTCATCGCTTGGCTCAGCTGCGTTGGAGCGTTCCACGTCACAGTCCGAGACGGGTCCACCTGAGAAGAGCATCGCAATGGCAACGTTGGTCCAAACCCAAACAAACACGGAACAAAAATTGAAAAAACATAATGTCATCACTCAAAACAACTCTCCACACGTCACATGTCCATATAGGTCCAAAATTGTTTTCAATCGTCCTGCATTCCAAAGTGCGTTGTCGTCAGGACAGGAAGCCAACGTGCTTTCAATCTGGGAGAAAACGAGAAGTGACACACATATGAAGAGAACAGCCGAAAGATGAAGCAATTCTAAATATAACAATGCACGAAAATGGTCATGCGGACACTTGTCCACGGAGGGCGGCATGTAACGAAACATGTCCCACCTGGCACGGCAAGGGTGAGAAGGCTTTATGAACAACATATCACGGCACAGTCATGTTACCCGTGTGGGAACTTTGCAGTTTTGGTATGAAGATTGAAACGCAAAGTGAGCTGCAGCGTTGTGTGCACATTTCGGGTGCCTGGTGCCACGCCAACACCTTGGGACTGGCAGATGCTCGCAGCTCGCAGTTAGAAAATGCTACCAGCCCATCAAACATTCCCCACCAGAAAGTCAAAGCACTAAGTTTCAAGGGCTTTCCCTCCAGACCGCGTGCCTTCACCCTGAAATAACCACTCGCTTGACAGGGTGAGGGTTGTCAGGTGAGAGCATGTCAGCTGCCGTGCTGTTCTCCTCTCCTGTCCTCGCGCAGTGTTCCCCGGACCTCGCCAGCTCCGGATGGCAACGTTCCCCGGACCTAACCCGCGCCGGATGGCAGTGTTTCCCGCTCAACCGCAAGTTCTGCTCGGCAGTGTTCCCCGGTGGACCTCAACTGCGTGTCAGAAGATACGCCAGAAAGAATGTCAGAAAGAATGCCGAAATAATGTTTCAATACTTGTTTCAATACATGCCGAACAATTGTCAGATTGAAATGTCATGGGGATCACTCGCAGTGAAGTGCTCTTTTTGCAACAACCAAATATGGTAATACATTGCGCACTACGGAATCTTTTGTACTTGTTGAGTGAACACGCAGGGCTCTTCGCTGACCTTGAGAGTAGCCTCCTCAAGGCCAGCTGTTGCAGTTAGCCTTAGGCATCCGCACTTGCGCCGATAGCGAGCCGTGGGTGTCGACCGATGTATCCTTTTGCTGGAGTGATACGGTCTCTCCGTTGGTCAGGGCCCTTGTGCGCTGGCGACAGAAGTTGGGGCTTCACATCTTCACTCGGAAGTGGTCTGCAGACACGTGGTGCGTCATAGCGGGCTGCAAAGTAGTGCCAACTGGACTACGTCCAGATGCACCATCTCCAGCAACATGGATGTGTACAGAGAATGAGCCAATCCAAACGTGGCTTGCAAGACCTTTGCCGTGCACCCGTCGGGAGGCTGCTTGTCAAGTCGGACATGCCTGCTAGCAAGCGGGTCAGACATTTCCGAAGTGAGCTGCCAAGGCCGTGTTGATGGCCTTTTGACGAGGACATGCTGCCGAGGAGCGAATGCAGTTGCGCGCCGCCCACAATGGCAAAGACATCTTGCTGTTCATCAGGATGCGTCGACTCTGGTTTGACCTTCGGCAGAGAGGTTTTGAGGGCCCCCTTGGAGCAGTTGGGCCGCTCAAACCGGCAGCTGCTTGCTTGGTCTCAGTTGCCCGAATGCCCTGGTGAGCTGACTGGCCGTAGCGAAGCCCTTTGCTCCTAGTAGCGTCCTTGCTCCTAGTAGCGATGCCAGGAGCCCCTAGTAGCGTTCTTGTTCCCAGTAGTAAGGCCAGGAGTCCCTAGTAGCGTCCTTGGTCCATGTTGAGGAATTTAGCTTTTGGTTGCAGCCGCTTTACGCCATATGGCTTACAGCCGCTTCAGCATGCTTACAGTTGGTTCGCACATGAAAAACATGAGTTCACTCACGCAACTGTCAGCCACGTGCTCACAACTGCGTAATACCAGTGTTTGGGGCAGTGAACATAGGACAAAAAGGAAACACTATTAAAAACACACTGAATGCCCAAAAAGACGTCCTAAAAAGCGAGCGCACGCTGAGAACATGCTTCGAGCATGGTGTTCCGCGACAACATCACCACCACCAACAACAACGACAACGACAACGACTGGGGGTCAGCGGCATCTGAACGAAGAAACAATAGCAATCTCTTTAAGAATCTGAGCGCAGAAAATATCAAACAGAGGACGCTACTAGGGGCTCCTGGCATCGTTACTAGCTTCATCTCTCTACTAGGAGGTTTTTTGCAAACAAAGAACCGGATACACAGCCCTTGTGGCGTTTAGGAACAAAGAAGCTACTAGAAAACAATAGGCTACCGTTGTGGCCTCGGTGTGCGTTTCACGTTTCCTTTCTCTCACATCTTGGCCCTAAGCAGTCTGAGACATCCTGATCGCATGAGCTTGGCCTGAGAATCGCGCAGAACTTGTGTGCTTTATTGTTACTAGTAGCGTTCTTGCTCCTAGTAGTAAGGCCAAGAGCCCCGCCTAGTAACGTTCTTGCTCCTAGTAGTAAGGCCAAGAGCCCCCCCCTAGTAACGTTCTTGCTCCTAGTAGTAAGGCCAAGAGCCCCCTAGTAGCGTTCTTGCTCCTAGTAGTAAGGCCAAGAGCACCCCCTAGTAACGTTCTTGCTCCTAGTAGTAAGGCCAAGAGCCCCCCCTAGTAAC